CAACACCAAGTCAAGGGTTAAGATCCCCTTACTGGTCATCTTTTAAAAAAAGCAAAAAAAAAAACAAAGAATCTGTGTGGCAGGTAAGTTAATGCAAGTGGCCTGGCTGTCTTTTTCCTACTGGTGAGACCATTACCATTTACCTGGTACAGAGTTAAATAGTTAAAAACACTCCATAGTTCTAGCTGGGTGGGATAACTACTAAAAGGAAGGTGATGGAGAACCTTTTAAAGAAATTAACGTAGTTTATTAAATTTTATTTCCTGGCTGTTTGACAAAAACCATAGTCCAATAGGCTAGCAACCAATATCTCTACCAGGAAAAAAAACTGTATGGTTACATTTTTTTTCTAATGGCTCAATGTCTGAACCACTTGACACTGCAGATGGTTTAAAGCTATCCTCACCTTGACATTGCAGACAGTCTGTCCCCGTAAATTCTTATGTTCACAATTAGCAATAACTTGTTCAATCTGGGCCCGATCAAAAAAATCCAGCTGCAAAGGCTCAGGAATCTCCTGACTGAAGTCAATCGAGTCAAGAATACTTAGAATTTTTCGACGTACTAAAAATAATAATAAGTAATTCAATTTTACTTGGGATATTAAGGAGAAGAGCAAACCATCATACTCAACTTGTTCTAAAAGATAGTGCAATGTTCAGAAAGGGCATTCATCTAGAAACTGAAGAGTGTTGAAATCTAAATTTGATTTTATTTCTTTTCTTTTTTTTTGTCCTTTTTGAGACCGGCCTCACCGCGTTCAGCCAGTGAGCACTGTGAGCGCACCGGTCATCCCTATATAGGATCCGAACCTGCGGCGGGAGCACAACAGCGCTCCCAGCGCTGCACTCTCCCGAGTGCACCACGGGCTCGGCCCTAAATTTGATTTTATTTCTGATACATCCACTTGGAAAAAATATTTTCTTTCCCATTCTATAATCATAGTTATATAAAAAAAATTTTTTTGGATGACAAATCCTTTATATAGCTTTTCTATATTAGATCAGAATTTGCAAACACAGGCATAATTTCTTAAGTTTTAAGCAATTAATATATGTATATAAAATAAATTCAAAGGCTTTACCTTTTGTAGCAGTGTCAAAGTGAAGGAACCCAGAGACAGACCTATTTTCATCTTCTATTCCTCCTTCACCATCTGTTGGAGCATCAATAACAACAGATCAGAAGAACAACATACTCTTAAATCTACATTTATTTGGAAATAATAAATGTAAGGTATTTTATTTCTAGGTCATTGTTTCTAGGTCAAAGAGCCCTATGCAAATGGATAATTAAAATGCAAAGATTGATGAGGACTTACTACCAACATTCATCTAATTCTTTCTATTCCTATGGGATCCACTTCACAATCGTAAAGAGGATAATCAGAATTCCAAAACTGGCAAGACCCAATCATGCCAATGAGATGATTTAAAAAGCTTATGCTTAATTTGCATGTATAATACATATTGAAATAGATTAGGTCTTGCTGGCTCAGTGTGACAAGCTCCACTAAATATTTTGTATATGACTATAGTAAAATGTGAGTGCTTAAAATAAAATGACAATCATGGGATGATTTTTAAATTTTGTGTTTTGAGGAAAAATATTCTAAACTGTTTTGAGGAAAAATACTCTAAAACATTCTATAATCACATACTAAGCACAAGCTTCAGATTTGTGCTTACATTCGCAAAGACCAGCCACCAGCACAATAAAACAAATGCCAATATTCTCATATTCACCTGAGTATGGTTTCACTGGCATGTCATCCAATAAGAGGTGTAGTAGCCTCTGGGTATGTGACCGTTGACGATTCAGAGAAGTTACTCTTAGTTCTATTGAGGCAGTCTTCATAAGCCATGACATTTGGTTCAGCATAGATATTTCATATTCTGAAATTTAAACAAAGAAACTTCATACATAGCTCAGAATAATAACACAAGATCAGAAAAAACCTAAATTCCACAATTCATCAGATATTTTCCCATGTAACGAAGTCAATAATTTATAAAACTTGGCAACATAATAATTTATCACTCTGTAAAATTACAAAGATATCAAGAAAGAAAAAACAAGCTATTATATGTCTATGAAAGATAAGCTGAAGCAAATAAAGAACAAAAGAGAATCAAGTTTTTCATGCTAGGATAATTTCATAAGGATCCTGAGTGCCATTTCTGACATTAATATATAACTTAACATTTCTTTAAAAATAATAAACTTTAAATACATAACTCATAAATAAAACTATCATACAGTTTAATTTTGACTTCAAAAAACAAATATCTAAGGCCGGCCCATGGCTCAACTCAGTAGAGTGCGGTGCTGATAACACCAAGGCCGCGGGTTCGGATCCTATATAGGGATGGCCGGTTTGCTCACTGGCTAAGCGTGGTGCTGACAACACCAAGCCAAGGGTTGAGATCCCCTTACCGGTCATTTTTAAAAAAAAAAAAAAAAAAAAAATCTAAAATTATATAATTTTATGATATCTCAAGATAATTAAGGACATATAATTAGGGCTGGGAATCACTTACACTATAGAAGCTTTTGAATCCAATATTATTTTGATAGGCTGAGCTTTTAAGTCCTAAATTGTGACAGTGTAAACATAAAATTTACCAAATAACAATACTACCACTAATAATTTTAGGCAAAGCTAAATCAATTTTTAAAAAACACATACCATAATAGGTAAGATATTAACTCTTCTTTTTAATTACATATAAAATAATTTCTAAAAGCTTCAGACATAAATAAAATCTGAGGATTAAAAATTATGAAAATAAGGTGAAAAATTTTCTGCCATTACATAATTTCCAAGGGTCTTACACCATTACTTTAAAAAGTAAATTAGAAGCTGACAATTACTAATAATGAAAATTCATTCATGAGATGTGTAAGCCTCTATTTCCTAAACATAAAAATGACACAAAGTAAACTTTTAGACCACCACTATTTGGATGTAACCTAAATTCAGAAAATTGCTAAAAGTCAATTAAAAAGAAAATAAAGTAGAATCCCGATAAAACTTAATTAGCCTGGGATAATTGTTATTCACGTCAAAACTAAGTTATAAATGTTTTTCACTAAAATTAGTTTCAACTTTCATTTCAAGACCTGAAAAAAACAAATATACAAGACACAAAAGTAAACCAGGGGTCCCGCCTGTTTGCTCAGTTGGTTAGAGTGTGATGTTCTAACACCAAAGTCAAAGGTTCAGATCCCCATACTGGCCAGCCACCAAAAAAAAAAAGTAGAAAAAAAAAATCTAAATTTCCATAATTTTCTTACGTTAATATTTTCTTATCCCTTCAACACAATCTTTAGGTTTTATTTGTCAGTAAAAAAAAACAAATTCCATCTCTGACAGATTACATTTAAATTACTTTCTGCTAGCAGCTAAAACACCAGGCTTCTCAAGAACGAATTACAAAAGCAACCCAAAGCAACAAAGAAGCAAAGTAACAAAATGAGACAGAATTCAAACACTTTAACTCCTCCCTCCAAAATACTATATAAATAAATTACTCATTATGTACTTATATATTTGTTATAATAATAAGGGAAAATAATGTCCTACCTTTGTTAGAAAAAGGTAGATGTTGCAACTGAGAATATAAGAAATCCTGGCTGGTTCTCAAGTACCTCATAGTAGGACCAGATGTATCAGAGCACGCACATAACTGATATATCACCTAAAGAATTAAAATAAATTAAGAAAATCCCTAAATTAGCTTTTCATGCTATACAGTTTAAGATAACAAGAACTTAAGTGAAAAACTCAGACCCATCAACTACTCAAGCAAAATGGATAAACACACATACAGAACATAAACTCAGAGTTATAAGAAGTCCTTGGCACCCTAGTTCAAAAAATATATTAAAATACAATTGAGAGTGCTGATGACATTATTATAGTGCTGATGACATGTACTATTAATACATGTACATGCAGTTAATTAACAAGTTTTAGTATTTCCACTACTACTAGTAACAAATTGCTTAGAAGTAACTTCTGACAACCATAGTTATTTCATTTCAACCTCAGGAAGATGATAAATTTACTTGAACTGAAGCAATTGCAGAAATTACAAAGAAGATCCACAAATTCAAATGTGTAAAACTATAAATTCTAAATAAAAATTTAACCAAAAACAATAGTTTTGGAGGCAATCAGTCAGCTCTGTTGGTTAGAGCATGGTATTATAACACCAAGGTCAAGGGTTCAGATCTCCATACCAGCCAGCCACCAAAAACAAAAAAAGAAAGAAAGAAAACAATACATTTGGGGGAAAAACCTTTTATATCACATAAAAGAAAAAGTGACTAGCTCTAATTCATATAATGCATTACATATATGAATATCATAAAAATCTAAGGAGACAAAATGGCAGAAAACATATTACATGAGAAAAAAAAAACAGCCCATGATCAAAGAAAAATGTCAACCTTTTTTCAGCAATAAAAAAAGTTAAGGCAATAATAAGGCCATACTACCTTTTCTAAATCAGCAAAATTTTTAATTGTAAAAAGTAAATCTTAGTATCTGGCAAAGTGGCAGTGAGAACTTTCATTCACTCCAGTGATTCATTTTGTAAATATTTATTAAATGCTCTTCCATGTACCAGGCACTTCAGACTTGTCTATTATTGGGACCATTAATACTTAGAATAATTGTTATGATTGTTTTTGAATTAAAATCTAAAGTCATAAAACTATTCATATCCTTTGACCCAACACAATCAATCCTCATTATTTACAGATTCCCTAATTTGTGAATCCTCCTACATGCTAAAATTTATTTGTAACCCTAAAATCAATAGTCATGATGCTTCTGCAGTCATTCACGAACAGTGAAAAACTTCAATTGCCCATCTCGCATGCTCTCAAACCAAGCAATGCTCTGCCTTCTTGTTCCAGCTCTCAGGCTGTAAACAAGGGTCCTTTTCATGGTCTATTTAGTGCCACATTTTTCACATTTTTGTGTTTTTGTTGGTGATTGGGCTGTTTAAAACAGTCCCCAAACATAGTTCTGAAGTGCTGTCTAGTGTTCCTTAGCACGAGAAGGCTGTGATGTGCCTTTCAGAGAAAATACATGTGTTAGATAAACTTCATTCAGGCATGAGTTACAAGTTTAGTCCTGTTGGCTGAGTTCAATGTTAACAAATTAACAATATATATTAAATAAGGAGTCTTTAAACAGAAACAACATAAAACAAGGTTATGGATTCACCAGTTGACAAGAATTCTGGTATCAGAGGCCTGGGGAATCTAACCCTGTACCTTCTCTAGGGGCAATGGTTCAGGATGTGCCAATTCAGTTTCAGAGCGACTTTATAATATAAAATGAAACTACTGTGAATAGTGAGTATTGATTATAAATACGTGTCTGGAAATACATTCTTGAGAAAAACATAAAACATAAAACAACAAAAGCTAACTAAAGATATTCACTAGAGCAAAGTAAAAATCTGTAAACAACCTAAATGTAATTTACATTGCAGCAGCACAGAAAGTTTATACAGAGGGGGAAGAAGAGTAAAAGGACACAAAACTGTATGTATACTGAATACAACTAAATAAGCAACGTGTACACACAAGGAAAAAGACAAAAAGAAAACATAAGGTAAAAAGTAAACAGTTTTGCTGAAGATGTATTCTTTTTTTTTGTCCTTTTTGAGACCAGCCGCACCGTGCTCAGCCAGTGAGCGCTGTGAGCGCACCGGTCATCCCTATATAGGATCTGAACCCGTGGCGGGAGCGCTACTGCGCTCCCAGAGCCGCACTCTCCCGAGTGCACCACGGGCTCGGCCCTGAAGATGTATTCTTGTTTTTCAAACAGATGATACTGTTTTGATATTCTATGAACAAATAAAACTTAATAGCTCAAAACAAAAAAAATCAGTTATGCGTATTACAGGGCAAGTTAACAAAAAGTACAAGATGCTCAAAGACATGGGAGAAGGGGGCCGGCCCGGTGGCGCACTGCTACAGTGCGCCGCTTGGG